TGGAGTATGAAATACAAGTAACTGTTTCTGCCGAACTGTAACCTTTTGCTGTGCGCAGTGATATAGACCCATGTTCTTCATTGTTTAGGTCCCAAATCCTAAACTTCTACATTCTCAAAAAGGCGGACTGGGACGCAAAACCCAAACTTGAAGCGATGCATTCACGGTGCTTAAGGAGTGTTTTCAGGGATATTCAGATCCCGCAAGTTCCGAGAAATATAGCATGCTTTTGATCAAACGATACTTAGTTTTGTCCTCATAGCACTTTATCCCAGTCATTTTTCGCCCATGAAATCCAGTACCCTTTGAAAAGATTTCGCACTTTCTACCGCATTTGGAATTTCTATTAGCAGAGATGGGGAAGCGAGTCAGGCACATTCGCTGTTCAGAGGTACGCTGCTGTAGTTTTTCCCCAAAGCCTGCTCATCGGTTAATTTTTTAAGCTTTTAAACAAAAGCACATTCTTTCTTTATCACTGCCACTGTTTTTTAGAAATGGTTTAGTATCTAAATGATTTTGGCATGACTAATTTTTTGTTCTTCGGTGCTAAAACCATAAAACTGATTTTAATGTCTCCTTGGCTCAGTTGAGTGTTTTCCCGGCCGGCCAGTATTTATTTAATTAGCTTTTTCATTTCACTGTTGATAATTCTAATATATTTCGGAAGCGGCGAAAGCAAAAGAAAGAAATGGCCCTCCCTCCTCGGAGACAGTGCTAAAGTTTGTACCTGATATCTTTTTCACCGTTACACATTGCTAGCACGCAATTCTCCATGGCTATCATTTGAAAATCTGGCCACTTTCCAGTAAGCTTCACCTGAAATGGAAGATTTTTGCAGCTTAGCAGCTAGTAAAAACAAGTTGCGAATCTGGTGGGCTCATCTGACCAGATACTGCTAAAATTGGCCATTTTCTTCGAAGTGAATATTTTCGAAATTTTCTTTGTCATTTTATCAAGCAAATTGCTACTTCCGTATCTGCTGAAACATCTGTAGGATCTTATGCCCATACACTGGTAATTATGCATTTTAGCCTATGTGCAAATTGCAGAAACGCATATTGCGGCGACCCTTTCGTGTGTATGTGTGTGTGAGTGTGTGTATATGTTTGTGTGCGTGTTCGTCCGACCGGGTATTTCAACTCGGCAACCAAGCAAGCTCCGACGCCGAAATTTTGCGAGTGGGTTCCCCGGCCAAACGCCACTCCAGGACCGCTGTATCAATCCTCACACAAGTCTGGGTCCCGCGTACGAGATTTGGCGGGAAAAACGCTAACTCGGGAACGAGAAAAGATAGAAAGCTGAAATTTTGAGGTTATGTGTCCCTGTCCACCTGTAACTCAAAAATATCAAATTCAGCCCCCAGGTATCGTGGTTCCCGCGTACGGCCCCGTGAAGGTTCCCGGTGCGAAAGTCGCTAACTTGCAAACCAGAAAAATCAAGAGACTGAAATTTAAAGGGAATGTTCCCAGCGGCCCCAGGCATGCGTGGTTCTCTGTACGGCCCCGTAAAATTTTTTAGAGGGAAAACGGCTAACTTGGGGACAGGGAAGTTGGGAGGCTGGAATATTAGGGGGATGTTCATAACCCATGTACAAATTAAAGATTTCAAACCGAGCCCCCCACCCTAGGCCACGTGCGGCCCCGTGAAAGTTCTGGCGGGAAAATTGCTAATTCGGGAACCAGGAGAGCTGGAAAGCTGAGATTTTGGGAGAATATTCCCGCCTAAATACAACTTAAAGGTTTCAAATTGGACCTCCAGGTACTTGTGGTTCTCGTGTATGGACACTTATATTTTTTAGCGGGAAAATTTCTCATTTTACAACTGGAACTTTCAAAAAACGACCGCTAAACGGAAATTATTTATTTTCGTTTATGCAAAGTTTACGATAATTTACGGCATTGAGCGCATAAGGTAGATGTGATAAAACAACCATTCTTGCAGCTAACCTAATTAGCTCAAGTTTTGTGCAAAAACGCATGATCGCACCGGCTCGCCTAGTGCCTTTCAGCCTGAGTTTTTATTGAAATTTGGTAGGATTTTTAAAACCATTTTTGATCGGCTTTTCTGGCTTCGCATTCTTCATCAACAATTAGTTTATAAAACTAAGGGAGACTCGCGCCATCCTATTTTATCGAAATAATTGCGCTATTGCAAAAATACATTAAAGATGCATAAAAAAAAA